ATGCATTTAATGACAGGGATACATTCTGAGAACTGTATCGTTTGGCAGTTTTGTTATTTGGACATCATTGAATGCACTGACACAGACATTGATGGGATAGGTCAGTTAGTCCACATAGCCTCTTCAAAAAGGTGCAGTTTGTACATGCGTGTGCATGTTCAAGTTTATGCACACACGTGTATTCCATGACGTCTGCAGAGGCTAGAGGACAACTTGAAGGACTTGGTTCTCTTACCATGTGGGTAGTACCTCTACTGCTGAGTTGTCTCACCATCCTGCCTCTTAACATAATCAAGTTGAAGTAAGCACAAAATGTTTGAGGCTACTGCCAGTGCGTAGCTCAGCAAACTGCTTGACAGTATGTGCCGATTAAGTATGTTTACACTCAAGTAGTGATGACATGCCTGGTGACATGCGCCTATTTACCCCAGTAGGACAACATCCTCAGACTTTGTCTCCAAAGTTTCAAAAGTCTGCAGTCATTTAAACAGAATGTTCCTCTCCTGGTGGGGATGTGGACTGCAAGGGCTGCAAACAGCCACTTCCTTGAGTCTAAGCAACCTGCTCTTATATGGGTTGCCCTGAGGGACTGTGAAGACAATTTTCTTGCAGATAACCCTGTCTCCAAGTCACTGCTGTCTCTAGCCTGGCTCCAGGAGGAATATGTGGGGTGCCTTGGGGAAGCCCCAGGGCTCAGTGGCCAGAGTTCATGCTGGCCAGGCTATTATGTTCCTCTGCACCAAGCTGCAGAATAAGGAACATGGGAATGAGGGCTGCTGTAGAGTCAAGCTTGAGTGCTCTGGGCAACAGAAGACCCATAACTCAAAAAAGTGGGGCTTCCCATAATGCAGAGGAACTTGAAGACAGGGTGGCTTGTTCCGTGGGTGCTGGCTCAGATATGTCCATGGGTGTCCATAGTTGTTGCCTGGCAAGTGACCTTTAACTCACTGTCCTGAGTTCTGCACCCCACTAAGCCATGTGTAGTAATCAATCTCACATCCATTATGTCTTTAAAAAATAAGGAGGCATGGTGCTGCATGCCTTTAATCCCAGCACTCAGGGAGGCAGAGGGGGTGCTGTGAGTTCGAGGCTAGCTTGGTCTGCAAAATGAGTCCAGGACAGCCAAGGCCTGTCTCAAAAAACCAAAAACCAAAAACCAAAACCAAAAAAATTAAGAAAGCATAATGGAATTACTACGGACACCATAACATAATTGTTGCTGGGTTTTAAACACTATACACAATGGCATGTGCAGTACTTGTATCTGAGAGGCACCTTCACTGCCACAAAGACAGTGTGTATTTATTGCACCTGATGCTGTGACATCATCAGGTGGTAGACAGGACTTTCTCTGCTCCTTTAGTATTTTACACAACCGCTGACTTTATAATGGTTACTTTAAAGTCTTTTTTGGAGACAGTGTCTCACTCTGTAGCCCTAGCTGGTCTACAACTTGGTATATAGAGGGGGCTTGCCTCTGCCTCTTCCGTGCTGGAATTAAAGGATTTTACCACTGTTCTTAGCTAATGCTTTAGTGTGTAGTGTTTATATTTTGTTTAGGAGTGTTTCTTTTAAATGATTCTGTTTTTCTTTCTTGAGACTGTCTGGCTTTGTAGCAAAGAATGGCCTCTAACTCATGGTCCTCCTACCAGCTCCTTCTCTCAGGGTCCATGCATGGGTCGGTGTACTCTGCTGACTGGCTCTTTGGAGGTCAGCCTTGAATGTTCAGTAGATTGCAGGATAACCTACATGTGAGTCCCAGGGATTGAACTTGGCTCATCATGTGGGGTGGAGCGCTCCTTAACCCTCTGTATTATCTTGTATTAACCCTCTTGTATTATCTCTAAATGCAGTTTAAACTGATGTAGATATATGATGAAGTACCAGGAGGTATTCTGATCCATGTGCACATTGTGCAGTGTTTATGTCAGGTTCAGCATGTCTTCTCAAACACTATTTTCTTAAGGAGAAAATATTTAGAATCCTCTAGCTCTTTTATTTTAATGTATATTATGTATGTGTGTGTGTACCCTGCCCTGGAACTCACTGTGTAGACCAGGCTGGCCTTGAACTCATTTGCCTCTGCCACCCAAGTGCTGAGACTAAAGGTTTAGCTCTTTCAGAGGCATAGAATGATGTTATCTACAGTCACCTCACTCTGCAGCATTGTACCTTCAGAACTTGTTCCCACTGATCATCCTTTCTGTTTCCCGTATTCTCCCCAGCCTTGGACACCATTTTTTTGTTCGACTTGTATGAGGTCAGCCTTTAGAAGTACACACGAGTGAGGCTGTGGAGCTTAGCTTTATGTGTGGCTGTTTTTACTTAATGTAGTGATCGAGTGTGCTGTCCACCTTTTCCCAAAGGACAGGGCAGGGTCATGTTCTTTTTAATGGTTGAGAGTGGTATTCTACTTTATTTATGCACCACATTCTGTTGAACCAATCATTATATGATGGATATTTCTGTTGCTTCTATGTCTTGGCTCTTGTGAATTGTGCTGTGGTGAACATGGGAGGAACTGTGAGTGTGAAGTTCTGGGTTTGAGTCCCAGAACTTCAGACCTGCTAGGCAAATTTTCAACCATAGAATTGTGAGTCTTGGCATGTTTAGTGTGTGTGTGTCTGTCTGTCTGTCTGTCTTCGTGTGTACCACATGTATATGGATCCCTGTGGATTCCAGAAGAGAATGTTCCCACTGGGCTGGAGTTACAGGTAGTTATGAGCTACCTGCCATGGGTGCTAGACTCGGGCTCAGAGGAAGAGAAAGGCAGGAAGCTTAACTCTGTTACCCCTGCCATATCCGATTTTAACAGTAAATATTAGTACTCAATCCTCTTTATTAGATTTCAAATCTTAATTTACTTAATCATGTTATCTCAGAAGCATCTGAAAGGATTGAGAATTACTGTCAGCTCTGGAAATGCTGAGATGGTATTAATAGTGTTGACAGCTCTTGCAGAGGACCTAAGTTTGGTTCCAGCTCACAGTGGCTTGCAACTCCAGTTCCAAGGGATCCCATGCCTTCTTGTGGCGTCCTTGGAAACTTGCCTGCATGTGGTGCACATAAAAACTCAAAGCAGGAGCAAGCATAAATTATAAACAAATTAAAAACTCCTTATGTTTTGTTTTCTTTTGAGATTGTTATGTGACTTTAAAATGAAAATATACCTATAACTTACTGTGCCTTTCCTTTTTTCAATTGCCAACTAGAATGTCACATCATCTCCTCAGTATTCTACATTCCTGGAACATATCATCCCGAGATTTCTTACTTTTCTCCAAGATGGAGAAGTCCAGTTTCTTCAGGAGAAGCCAGCCCAGGTAATGTGTCAATAGTAGCGGGGGGGAGGGGGGCACACTGATGATCAGAGGCAAATATGAATCAAAACAATGTAATAAAACCAAAGAATAAAAAAGGTCCTGCCAGTGGGGTACCATCCAGGCCCATTGACTCCTTGACTTTATTCGTCTTTTCTGCGGCTTAAGTTACTTGCATCTGCCAACTATGGGTGTGTATCTATGCAGAATAGTTCAGCTGGACACAAAAGAGGGCTGGTGAGATGATTCGGCAGGCAGAGGTGCTGGCCACCAAGCCCGAAGACCTGGGTTCAGTCTGGTGAGACTCACATGATAGATGGGCGCATTGACTCCAGCAGGTGGTCCTTCAGCCTGTCTCTACCCGCTCCATGATGCGCATGGACCCGTATGTAATAGTTTAAGAAAATTGAGTTTGGCTGGAGAGATGAGTCCTACTCATGCAGAGGGCCAGAGTTCAGGTCCCAACTTGCAGGCCGGATGGCGCAAAGCTGTCTGTAACTGCGCTAGCCAGATCTGATATCTCTGGCCTCCTTGGGCACCTGGACATACACTAGCAATTCTTTTCTTTTTAAGATTTATTTATTTGTTTATTTATGCAGTATTTTGTCTACATGTGTGCCTGCAGGCTGTAAGACGGCACCAGATCTCATTATGGATGGTTATGAACCACCATGTGAATGCTGGAAATTGAACTGAGGACCGTTGGAAGAACAGCCAGTGCTCTTAACCTCTGAGCCATCTCTCTAGCCCCAATTCTTTAAAAAATTAAATTTCATATTTACTTTTACATAAAACAGTTTGACATCACTTCCCAGTACCTCTAACCACCTGCACATTATTTTCTCAGTTTTTCCAGTTTATCTCTACCCACTCCACACATCCCCCCCACCTTTTCCATCTTGAATATTTTAAGGAATACTCATTATGCCATCACTTTTATTTCTTAAAGAATTTGAAAACAGTTGCTGTAATGGTGGTGAGCTTTATTGCTACCTGGAGCATTTTTAGGTTGTACCAGTTCCGAGAGCTTAAGTATGTGACCAGCCTCCTAGTTCTGAGCTGCCTTGGCAGATCACGGATGGAGGCTTAGAGCATCATGGTTGAAACACACCCTTGGGCTCTCAGGAGCAGATGAGGCGTGTCAGGGGAGACTGCACATTAATTATTTTCTATTTTCTGCTTTCTCTTGTCTCTCTCTTTTTTTTCAAGACAGGGTTTCTCTGTGTGGCCCAGGCTGACCTGGAACTTGCTTTGTAGACCAGACTGGCCTTGAATTCAGAGATCTGTGGCATGCCTTGTGGAGGCCAGAAGAGGGTGCTGCATTCCCTAGCGTTGGCGTTAGAAGTGGTTGTTAGCCACTGTGTGCCCTGGGAATAGAGCCCCGGTCCTCTATAGCTGGGCATGGTGATGAACACCTTTAATCCCTGCACTGTGGAAGGCAGAGGGAAGAGCAGCCAGTTCTCTTAACCATTAAGCAGTCTCTCTAGCCTAAAAAATATATTTTATTATTAATTATGTGTCTTGTGCCTGCACATGTGTACGTAAGGACATGTGAGTTCAGGGTCTTTTGGAGGTCAGGAGAGGGTATTGGATCCTTTAAGCTGGAGTTACACGTGGTTGAGTTACCTGACAAGGGAGCTGGGGACTAAACTATCCTCTGCAAGAGTATAAAGTACTCTTAACTGCTGAGCCATTTCTCTGGCCCCTTCTCTTTTCTCTTAAGATAAGTCTGTTTGCTCTTCAGTTTTCAATCCACTTTATTCTCACAAAGTTGTAAAAAGTTTGTTAACGTAGTTGTGGGGTTACTGAAGATGACTTGCACACATACTATAGGTTACAAATAGCTAATTTGCAGGTCTTCTAAGGTCACCTCGTGTCAGGTGGTGGTTGCTGGTGCTGGCTTCAGGCATCCCTGTGACGTGTGTAAGGTTAAAAGGACTCCCGATGTTTTACTTTTGTATTTGTGCCTTTCCCTGCCAGCAACTACGGAAGCTAGTACTTGAGATACTCCACAGGATACCGACCAATGAGCATCTTCGTCCTCACACGAAAAACGTCCTCTCTGTGATGTTCCGATTCTTAGAGGTAATCTTTGAGAACTTACTTATTTAAAACATGTCATGATTTTTCTTATGGTAAAATCCAGTAGTAGTCCATGCTTTACCAAAGATCTGATTAGATGAGTGAAATTTTTCTTAATGTCTCTTTTCCTCTCATTTTTGTTTAATTCAAAAAGAAAGGCTACTTAATTGAAGAGTTATATTCCTCTTTTCTTCCCTCCGT